TTTATTTTTTTTATTTATTTTTATTTATTTTTTATTTAATTTTTATTTAATTTTTATTAATTTTATTTATTTTTATTTATTTTTATTATTTTTATTATTTTTATTTAATTTTTATTTATTTATTATTTTTTTATTTTAATTTTATTTATTTTTTTATTTATTTTTTATTATTTTTTATTTATTTTTATTTATTTTTATTAATTTTTATTATTTTTATTAATTTTATTTTTTTTATTATTTATTTTTTATAATATAAAAAATAATTTAAAAATAAAGAAAATTAAATAATAATAAAAAAAATAAATTAAAAATAAAAAAATAATTTAAAAATTTAAAAAAATAATTTAAAAAATAAAAAAATAATTTAAAAATTTAAAAATAATGATGATAATGCAATCAACAAGACAATTTTAGATTATAGTAATATTGAAAAGAATAATATTTGGAGTAGGTTAAATAGTTATGATAACTTGGATGTTGTTTTGGAAGATTTCTCTGCTTTGATCGTAAAAAACACGAAAACTATAAAAAAGCAGAGCAGATCAGAAAGGAAGGAGTGGATGACTGATGAGATCCTTCATAAAAGAAAATTAGGGACTCTTATCATAAATATAGAAGGAAGTATGCTGGTAGTCCACATGTTGAAAAATTGTATATGGAAAGTAAAAAGGAGGTGCAAAAATTGATATTGCGGGCGAAAGTTATTTATTATTCTGATGAGGTTTGTAGGGTTCAAGGCTGTGGTCGTAATGTATGGAAACTTTACAAGAGGGTTATGTTTAACGATGACAACTCTGTGTCTGCTAAGGGCTCTATAAAATCGATAGAACATAATGGTAAAACGTATATAGAAGAAGTTAATATCGCGCGATGTATGAATGACTATTTCATTAGTGTAACGTCAGAACTTAGGTGCCCGTCTGATCCCATTGATTTTGCATATTTATGGTTTCAGTAGAAATGTATTTCATGGATTTGAACTGTCCCCAACGAATTCTGAGGAAGTGGTATTGGCTATTAATTCTTTGAGATCAGCAGCTGCGACTAGTATTGATGTTATATCATCGAAATTTATTAAGAAATTTTCTGACAGACTGTCGCCCATACTGGTGAGGTTTATAAATAAATCTTTTCAAACTTTTACTTTCCTGAATCCCATAAGGCAGCTGTCGTTACTCCGATTTTTAAGGGTGGTAACGCCACAAATATGTCCAATTATAGGCCAATATCGGTGCTAAGCGCATTTTCAAAAATATTTGAAGTTATTGTTAAAAAACGATTAGGCGTGTTCTTAACAATGAATGGCATCTTGTCTGGGGAGCAGTATGGCTTTGAAAAAAATTCCAGTACCGCTGCTGCTTGTTTAAGTCTTACGGATTTTATTTCAAAAAGTATAGATGACAGACAATACGTGGCTTGCATTTTTCTGGACTTTCAAAAGGCATTTGATTGCGTAAATCATTAGATCCTTCTTTACAAGTTCGGGAAAATGAACTTTTTCCCAAATCAGATTAATTTTTTTACATATTAGAACATATTTAAATAATAGATTACAAACCGTGAGGGTCGGTGGGTCGACAAGTGATTCGAAAATAATTATGAAAGGGGTACCACAGGGATCCATATTGGGGCCGGACCTTTTCAAAATTTACATCAATGACATTTTGCTTTTAGATTTGAATGGGCAGATTCAGCTTTATGCTGATGATTTAGTTTTAAAGTATTCGTCCAGAAGTGAAGAGGAATTGGTTGATCATATTGCAGCGAATTTGGAACTGATTAGAAACTGGTTGAAAATACATCATCTCTTATTAAATATAAAAAAAACGAAGGTTCTATTATTTGAAAATAGGAGGTTTACACATCAGGATTTTTATTTTTTTTATTCTGATTAATTGTGTGAGTTTAGAAAAATAATTATATTTTTTAATGGCGTGGAGTTTACCGTTACCTTTTTCGTTTATAGAAACTTAAAAAAGCTTGCAATTTTACAAATATAAGGTGCCAAATATTCAAATTTTACAAACTTCGAGAGGTGATGCCTTGAGAGGCGGGTGGGAAGTGGAAAAAAATTTTCTTTTAACGACATGACCTACTTATCAGTGTCTAACGGATGTGAAAATTTCAGGATCAAAAATTTAAAAAAAAATGACTTCAAGTATAGTATACTACGAAAGAGGAAGCCAGCCAATATATTTCAACGTTTGAAAAATTTGTAAAATGCATGTGGTTCTACTACAGTAAATAGTTAAAAAATGGCATTTTTAAGGTTTTTGGGAGGTATAACTTTTAGAGGGGGGAGATTGGTAAAAATTTTCAAATTAGGTATGCCGTGGTAGAAGAAGCCAACCACTACTTCTCTGCTTTCGAAGAATTTAAAAAATGTACGTGGTTTTGCTACAATGAATAGTTAGAAACGGCATTTTTAGGGTTTTGAAAAATAATTTTGAAGGAAAGATCTTCAATGGTCTTCAAAAGCTTCCTAAACGGTTCCACGGACGAACGGGCGGACGGAGGAATGGACAGAGTGAAACTTATAAGCACTTTTTTTAAAATTCTAATAAAAATTGTTAAGTTAAACTTGCTTAAGTTTCCAATAAGATATTGATCAATTGAATTAAGTTGATTAAATCAATCAACTTATTTTCCAACCTTCTAAATTAAAGTTAATTTTAATATAGAAGATATAAAATATAAATTTAAAATTATCCTTCTAGCACCCATGGGACGTCGGTTATTTTTCAAATTCACTTATGTACATATTGTCTCTTATAAATATTCCACGTAAAATTATTTAATCATATGGTTAAAATGGCATAAAGAAGAAACAAATTTTTTAATTCCTATTTTTATTGTTGATTTGGGAGTTCAACATATTATTTAGGTTATATTTTTGCATTAAAATTGAAATTTTCATATATGTTTTTAACATCTAAGAGAATTATTGGGTTTTCATTCTAATTTATGCATAATAAACCCTCCTTAGAATTTTCAAAACAAAAAAAAATTTGCTAATATTGATTACAGAATCTTCATATAAAATTTGTAAAAAAATATTTATTAAGGATGTTTGAAAAATACGGTTGATCGAATTTCGCTTTCGGCATATATAAATTATAATTTAACGCAGAAAAAAATAGTGTTATACTATATAAGAATAGACATAATTCTATTTAGCAGTACACTTTTTCGTATTTTTCATCGCCCAAACCTAATAAAATTTTTAATAAAATTTCTGTAAAACAAAAACTTAATTAAAGCTGTGTGAGCAGTAAAAATGTAGTTATAATCAAAGCAAAATCATAGCTTTTAAATTAGCACTTTGTTTGTTTAACAAACTAAGCCTTAAGTGACATTTAAACTTAAGAAACTTAAGAAATCTTAAAGTGACATTATGTAAAAAAAAATTAAAATACTACCATAAAGTTTGAGTTGTAACACTATTTAATTTAATTAAGGCATAAAATAAGAGGGCGATTATTGTAACACCTTTACTTTTATAAGAATTTTATTAAGATCATAGTATTGAAGAAAAAATGAGCCCAAAAATTGGCTTTTTGCATAATTTGAGAGGCAATAATATAGAGACGAAATTACAATTAAATTTCACCCCAGTGGAAAAAGGCATTTATTGATATTTATCATATTGATTACATTATTCAAAAACTAAATATTTGAAACTAATCCAAACTTCCGCATGATAGAATAAATTATACTACGGTAATCGTAAATTCTAAAAGTTTAATTGAACAAAACTTAATTTTGCTATAAAGGTTTTGTAAACAAACGAACAGACAAAATTGAAATAAAAGGCACATTTTATCTAAAATTTCCTGTTTAATAAACAAGATTATTCCGGTTGCAAAAAATTTCAATAAATAAATTACAAAATGACGCGAAAATTTAGTATGTATTTTATTTTAATTTTCCAATATTATTTTAGTAGTTCTCCAATTTTTTTTTATAAACTCAATGGCAGAAAAACAATTTATTGAAAAGGAGGATTGAAATAAACTTTAAAGCTTTCAACATGTTAAAGAACGAAAATCGCCGATAGGACGAGTTCTTTTGCTGCAGTTAATGATTTTAATTCTGAAAACAAATTCTTTTTTTTTTTTTTATTGGTATGAAAATAAAACCGTCTTTTATTCGGAATAAAATACTTTTTTTTATTTTTTCAAAGACTTTCATTAATCTTTATTTCAAAGACTGCATTAATCGTTCATCCTAAATATATGCAATCCCAGAAATAGTTTCGCTTATGAATGAAAATAATTTTAATTGTGTGGTAGGTATACATAGACTGTATTTAAAAGCAGAATTTTCACTTGTTGAAGGGAAAAGTGCTACAATGCAAACCATTGCTTTGACCCAACTTTATTATATGGAACGTGCATAAAGCTATACAATATTGAATATTACTTTTATAGCGACCTGACTTGGTTTTGAATCCGAGAACCTTCAGTTAAAGTATCAGTGCAATAACCATTGCAACCATTGGTCAGTTATATTTTTTAATACATCCCTTTAATTTCATTATTGAAAATTCCTTAAAATAGAAATTTATTTTTAGATTTATTTATTTTGGAATAAATTAATAAATTTAAAAATAAATATCTATTTTAAGTACTGATAATGTGGAATACTGGAGATAACAGTAATTATATTGTTAAAATTTAATCGTGTAAAATGAAGCTAATGTTGAGCAAGATAATAATGTTTCACAACAATATTAATTGTACATACCATTGCAGCGAAAATACTCTCTTAATGTTTTCTTCAAAAATATTCTCAATAAATTCTATTGGAATTTTTGGAAAACCTAGAAAATCATGTTGAAATATTTGTTGGAAATTCAACCATACAGATACAGTTAAACTTGTTTATTATTCAATACATACAAAGAAAAAATTTCACTAATATTGAAAAATTTTACTAATCTTATTGGACTATTTATTCAGTTTTATTATTTAATTTAAAGAGAAAAGGTGTAAAGAATATTGAAATTTTGTTCTTTTTAGAAAAGTTTTTTTTTGTTTAACATATTAAAATTAATGAAACATATAAGAATATAAATATATCTATATTATGTATGTACTTAAAAAAGAACAGTTGATTTTTAACTAAATAAGTTTTTCTTCAAATTAATTATAGCATAAAAGACGGGGACTATATGCAAACGAAGAGCCGCCTTCGCAGTCACATACTTTAAAATTGTACGCAGATATTTAAACAAAATTATTTTTATGTAAAAAATTAATAAATTCAATGACATTTAATGTTGAGCCTAAACGTGTACAATAATAATATTCATAATTATGTAATTAGCAGGAAAAATTTTATTTACTAGACGACGGATAAATGAAGTGTAAAAATGATATTAATAATGAGTAAACGGTTAATAAAAAAATAAATATGAACTATTGTTTACATAATCAAAAAGTTTTCAAGGTTCAACATTAGATAATGAACAACAAAATGATGTTTCATTTGGAAGGTAATTAATTTATTTGATTAAGGATTTTTTTTAATGATTGATTTATTTTGCCTTATTATATTATTATGTACCTATATGTATGTGTGTGTATTGGAATAATTATAATTTAATAATATTTATTTTGAAGTTTTCCAATGAAATTTCTAGTTTAATTATGTAATAATATTTAGAGTGCTACGTAACTAAAATTCAAATTCATTGAATTTTACATAAAAAAATTTAAAATAATGTAGGCCGTAGAGGGCATAAATAATTTGTTCGGAAAGGTAAATAAATAAATTTTTACCAACTGCATTGTATATAGGATAATGTTTGATTTTGATGAAAATTTATATTCGAGTTAACTTTAACCATATCATACTACTACGGGCCGATTTTATATTTTCTATCATATCGATAAAAAACTAATTAAAATAGAATCTCCTAAAATTTAATATTTGAGTTCTGTTTGCCAACGGTAATAAATGAAAAACATTTCAAGAAAATTAGATACCAAAAAGTTAACCAAGACAAAGAAACAAATGTATGTATATTTTGCCAATCAGATTAAGCCAAAAATTTTTCATAGCATCCTAAAAATTTGAAATACGTGTAAGTGTTAAAAAGAAATTTTCATAATCATTTACAATAATAAAAATTGCCTACAGCAAAATCCTTATCATTTAATGGCGGAGGAAAAGAATAGTGGAGAGTTAGCAATTGTCCTACGAGAGCACAACGATCGCAAGTATAACAATAATAGCATATTTTTATATCCTATAATAAACTTGTCATTTAAAAAAAATATAATTGAAAGAAACAATTAGTTTAATTGTTGGTGACTAGAATTGTGTAAGTCATTCTAAGCGTCAAAGTGGGTAATGACTTTCTTTCTGTATTTGAGAAATTTAAAAATTACTTCCAGTATACACTATACTATAATTTTATGGAAAAGTTTTTAGAATTTTTAACTACAATGATGTCGATGAAAAAATAGATATTATACTAAAAAGGTGATATCAAATATAAGAGCAAAAAACCAAAATGACGTTCAAATCTGAGGTGCAATAATTGAGGGACCTCATATACACTATATCATAATTGTTAAATAAATGTCTTTTCCTACAAATGCCATTTCTATTAGTATTCTTAGACAATTTTTTGTCATACCAACATTCGGTGTAACATAAAAAATGGATGGAAAGCTACGTTACAACTAAATTATAGGGACCAAATCATCTACTCGTATGATTTATATGAACAAAAGCAATATCAAACAATTTCAAAATTTGTTGTAAATCTAAATTTTTCGTTTACTACAATATGGACCTTAAATTCTATTATTTAAAAGGTTACAATTCCTACATAAGAGTTGATATCAAAAGTTGTTATTTTCTTTTTTACGAAAACTCTTATTTACTGTTTCCAATTATTTTATTGACACTTCAACACAAATTATGTTCATTCGTTGAAAGAAAATTTTTGAAGCCTAACAAACCATCATTTAGGATTTCTATTCAGATTTTATTGTGTTTTTAAATTGTGAAGAAAATAAAAGCAACAAAATATTAAGCAATAAATACAGAAAATTATTTATGCTTATCTTTTACGAGTACTCAAAAGGATAAAGAAAAAAATTTTTAGAAATCGTTCCATCGTTAAAAGAACTGAGAGTAGTAAATGGGGCCAAAAAAAAAACAAAAGAAAACAAGCAATTACAGAGGCCGACTAAAACTAAAAACATAAAAAAATTGTAAAAAACAAATCATTCGAACCTTTTGGAGAAAACTCAATTATCGAATTCAAAAAATCATAGAATCTGAACGAGAGCTTCAGAAATTCTTAATTTTTTCTGTTATAATATTACAAATAAATAAAAAAGAATAGTAAAGGATTTTATACTTACGAGTACTTAGCTCATTTACAAAAGAATTTTATACATAGACCTCCTGAATGTTACATTTAGGCCCGTTGTGATACCACCGGATCTCACACTTTCCACGCTAGTTTCATACATGATTCCACTAGAAGAAAGTGAGTAAAAATAAAACTCTGCCTGAAGTTTGCCAACGCCAGACATAACTACAGTAGGTTGGTTTGGCCTATTCCCTCCTCCTCTTCGTCACAGCAAATCTATATTAAGATTGCTTGCAGGACTGCCTAAGAACACCTATAACTTTGGAAAAACCTTTATACATTTAAGATCAAGCCATAACAACAATAATATTAAAGCCGTATGTCTATATGAAACAAAAATTTTAAACATTTTGAAGTTGCCGTTCAATGGAAAACCCATAACATCAAACATAATAAAATCGATTTAGAATAAGAATTCATTTGAATAGTTGAAGAAATGAATGAGAAACTTTCCTAACTTTCCTAAGTACTCGTATAACTATTAACTGCGTGTAAAACTCTCATTTTTGACTTCTTAAAATTTCTAACTTAAAAAAATTTTGTCACTGGTGAGATGAATCTGTAAAACGGATAAGTTAAAGGACAGGGATTATTTTTGACATAGTTGAGGACATAGGTCGTTGTCGTGTATTAGAAAATATTCTATAATTTGTTTGAAAAATTTTCTTTTTTAATGTCAAACTTATCTAAACAATGCTACGGAACTGAACTGCCTAGCACGAACTTGTGAAATTAATAAACACATTACATCCAAATTTTTTGTTTTTTTAAATTTGCGTCAAATGTTAAAATGTTAAAAGTATCCACGATTCAATTAAGATTTTTATGTTATATAAATTTCATTCTACGATAATCTAAAAAAATTTTTTAATAAAAAAAAAAAAATTATTTCTAATGAGTTAGAGACACAAAATATTTCCACATTTTCACCATCTTTCATATTTCAATTTCATATATGTGAAATTAAAAGACTTTCAGTTTAACTCAAAAATAAATTTTGTTTTTTTGTATTATAAGGATAAGAAAAACATTTTGAAATTATTTTCTTTTAAAAGGAGAAAGTTTATTTAGATTAATATTTGAAAAAGAATAAAAATGAAAAAAAAAAAAATCATCAAGGATTTAAAGAATTTTTTAAAAGCAAAAATTTTCATCTAGAAAACTTTTCTTTTCAATTTCCCCAAAAACAAAAAAAAAAAATCTTCTTTATACTTAGGATAAAAGTTTGTTAACTTTCGTTTGCTTTTTATTCTGTAAATGTTGTGTTGGTAAATAAATTATGACATAAAAATCATCTCATAGCAAACACAGAAATCTTAAAACAAAAGAATGAAAAAAATTATTTTTATATACACACACACACACACAAACATGGATAGTATAAATATCATATATGAATATGTAGTTATGTTAACTGTAATTAAAATATATAGTAAACACTATATATAATAATAGTAAATGTTACTCGTAGTAAGAATAAGTTCTTTGATTGTATTGATAACAGACGTAGACGTAAAAGAAAACTAGGCTAAACTTTTGTACACAAACTTAATTTTAAACAACCAAAAGAGAATATGTTTTTTTTTTGTTATTGTAAGTTTTCTTTATTACAATAATTATGGAGTCAATATAACTACGATATGAAAAAAGAAAAAATAAAATGCCTAACTACTTTCCTTACTTTAGGATATGTGAGGCAGACATTCATGGGAATGCCGTCGTAAAGTTATATGATTTGTAATCCCTGAAATATCAAAATTGGTGGCTATTGGAAAAATGTTTTGTACAATTCATAGAAATAAACAAAGTAAGGAATGATTAATTGAATGATAAAAATGGATTAGTGATATCTCCGGGGCACATAAATACTAAGTCCACAAAAATATTTTCATTCCTTAATGTAAGAGTTTTATGCCTTAATTTTAAACTTGAGATTTTCAGACCTTACTTTAAACACTATGGAATAATAAATATTCAACGAATTCTTTCAAAATTTTATATTACAAATTTTCATATTACACGGCTGTTAAAAGAACGAACCAACAAATTTCTTCAAGGGGATCAAGGTAAAGAAATTAAAAATTTACTATGTTTCCGATTTTGAATTTTTGACCATATTTAAGCAAATAATTGAGGGAAAATCTTAAAATTTAATATTTACGGCCTGATCTTCCATCTTGTTATTGTTATCAGCAAGTGAGAAGAAAGTGAGTAATTGTCATATATTTGTACAATGTAATTTTCGAGTGAGAAGAATTTATGTGAGAGATGTAAATGTATACAAAATTTATTCACTTTGTTTTTGAAAGTGAGACATTCAGTCAATAATTTGAGAAAAAATGTAAAAATCCAATCGAAAAAAATTAATAATCTTATTTGGAAAATATCTATTAGAAAAATGGAGAATTCTGGCTTGAAAGTTAATAAAAATTGAGATAAACTAGCGATATACGCAACTAGGCTGTTCAATTCTTAGTGAAACTAATATTTGAATTTAGCGAAGTTATTAAATATCACAATTTTTAATTAAATCGGGCTCCGAAAATTGAATATGTGTTAAGAATCAAATTTATATACTTGGAAGTACTTATAGTAAGAAGAAGATTACTATGACTTTCTTAAAATTTTGAATAAATGTTTGACATTTTTCAAAATTTTTCCAGATTTTATTTTCCCATAGATTAAAACAGAAAAATTTGACGATTTTAAGCAATGTATAGGAAACCAATAAGTAATTTTACTGTAATTAAGAAAATAAGAATTTGTAAAAATTTTTCACAATTTCAGTATTTAAAAAATTAACACACGGTTCTATTTGCAATAAATCACAGAATATATTTTTTCTCTATGCTTTAAAAATGGTCATGTGTACACAAATAATCTGAAATCCTTGAACGCCTCTAGGTATAATGAGTGCAAAATTTTTGATCGAAAAAAAAAACCGTATGAGAATTCTAATTTATACTTTACTTTTAATAATACTCGCCCTTTCGATTAATGCAAAGGTATAAAATAATATGAGAAAATAAATAAATAATTTCTCCATACATAAATATCCTTTTAATTTTCCTCTTTCACTGTAAGATTTCAAGAAAAAAAAAATA